ACTGAAATTAAAGCATGTTAAATCATTTACATTAAAGAGATTTGAATATTTTATATTGCCAATCACTTCCCAATTATGAATAAAAACAACTCTTAACGCAAAAGTTAATTTAAAAACCAGCAGGAAAAGATGCAAGATAATGTGCACAACAGTTCATTGTCAGATAAACAGAAGACTTTCGGAAAAACTTTCAAAATTTCATTTGAAATCCTGACTGAAACTCGAAATGGCAATGACACTTATTATCCAGCAGAAAAAAACTTAAGGCTAGAAGTTAGTAAATGATCTCCAGGTTACATAATTGCTTCCTATCCTAGACTCTAGTCACCATTGATAAAGAATGTTTACAAACTGCAGCTGTCTGATTAATACAGTAAGAATACATGCTTTTTTGTAACCTGTAAAATAAAGCAAATAGCCATAGTTTATTTTCACAGCAAATTCTACATTTATTCTGCACAAATCCCTAAATGCATTTTAAAATATATAAAGCCTGCAGTATACAGATTCAGTAGAATTGTTATCAGCTTATGGGAAGTGTTATAAAAACTTCATGCTGATATAAGCCAGCCTTGCAAACAAGCAGAAATAACTCTGAAATAATACCATATTATAGCCCACTGAACAATGGCCGTGCCTACAGAACAAATCAAAAACAAACAAGAAAACCCACAAAACTGTGGCAATTTAGTTAATATATTATTAGTTTACATAAGTTGGTATTTTGGAAAATCATACTTATTTGTGTTAGATAATCCGGAAAAATAATTACTTTCTCCTCACTCCGGAGTTTCCTGTACAGTGTATTTAAAACCCATTCAACAGCAGGCAGAAGAAAAACACTGTGCTTGCATCCAAGCCTTTCTTAAGTACTAACTTCTACTTGATTCTTGGAGGCAGCAGCTAGCAGTACCCCCATCGACACAGCAGAAGAGGTGGAACAGCAGAGGATGGAAATATCATGCTACAGGAGAATTTAGCTCAATTAGATTGCACCTTCCCCTCAAAGCTCCTTGATTACGAGATACTGGAATTTAGTCTGGGTATTCGTAAATTTATAATCATGAAGTCCTGGGCTGCTGCTGTAACACCAACGCAACTGCCTATGTTATCCTTTGCCTAGCCAGGCAATGTCACAATAAGGGTATTTCCTCTATCTTTAAAATCTTTTTCTTCTTATTATCAAATTCTTTCCTCTCCCTTGTCCAACAGCTGCAGCAGAAATGTAAACGTGGAGAGCAAAGAAGAAACAGTAGCTAGCTGAAAATGTATGTATAATAAATCAAGATAAAGCATCAAAGGATGCATTTTCAGAAGGAACAGAGGTACAGAAAAGGAGCTGGAGCTATCAGAAAAAGGAAATGGGGACAGTGAGAAGGGCAAAGGTAACAGAGAGAAAAGAGGCAGCTGCCCTTGTCAAAAAAATCAGAAGTGATTTGAATACAGCACAGGAAAATGAGCTGGGAAGGGCTTTAGAGCCCTTTATCTCCACCGCAGCATTATCAAAAAATTCAAATTGACAATTTCTCATAAAATATTAGAATTTCACCAAGACAGCATTTTAATTAATGATTATGCCTGAGAAATGGGTTTTGATTTATTCTTATCTTTAATCCCCTAGTTTTGACTATTCAAACCTTTACTTTTGTTTTAAAATTCAGCATCACTCCTGCTTGCTGCTTCCCACAGGCATTTCATCTGTAGTTGTCCCAGCCCTCTCCACTGCAATGAAGGGTAGGTGAAACTGCCCTTGTGCCTTCTTCCTGCACTGCCTTCTTCCTCCATACGTCTCCAAATGTGCTTCTGTAACCCTTCTGCTCTCTCTCTAGTATCTGTTCAGTGATGCCCAAAGAGGACAGGGCAATTTCCTCTAAATTACTGACTGTAACCTCTTTAGCCACTAAATAACATGGATCTTTAGGTTTAAACCATCTTTAAAAAATGCTGCAACAGCCTACAGCTTTTTAATATTATCTCCCGAGAAAGCAAGGCTTTCAAATCAACCAGCTGGTTTCCTTCACTGTCCCTCTCCTGAAAGGTTTTAAATTGTTGTCAGTTGCAACAAAATTTAGTAAAATTTACAATTTTTGTGAAAGCAGGAAGAGAGATCCAGATGAATACTCTTACCAAAAAATCTGTACATTCACTCAGCTGTATTATTCAGACACTAATCAATTTGTACAATGAAACCCATCAGCCATGTCAAAAAATTACAAAAAGCTTTGAACAAAGCTCATGGCTTACCAGAAACATATGCTCTGACAAGGAGACAAATGGAATTCAGATAAAGTTTTACTTTTTACAGACTAGAAGTTTGGGGGGGGGGGGGGGGGTTTTGCATTT